CCAACTCCAAACCTCTCCGAAGATCATCTTCCTCGAGCCGTCAACATTAGGAACACCGATTCGATTCTGAACCACTGCACACCATGATCTCTGACAACCGCTTCCCCGGCACCATTTCACGATACCCTGCCCCGAAGGCGAATTGACAAAGACCATAATACCGGCGAACTTAACGCATTCAACAAGGACGACGACACCACCTCACAGATGAAAATTCCACCACACTCAAAAATATCAAGTCGCGTTACTCCATCAACCCATACCTGATCATTCATAGTCCGATTGCCTTTACTCTGTTGAAACTCTAAGCCATGAATTGAGGAATCCTTTTATCAAATCATTCCTGCCCCGACATATAGTTAAGCATCTTACTATTACATCAGTACTGTGCAATAACAACTTGTGAACATCACAGCAACCTGTGCATAGCCTCCAAACCATCAGAAATACAGCTACTGAGCTGAAATGACAGAACATCCTTTCGCAAGGCGATGACATTAGCCCAATCAAATACGCGGGGAGAAACATCCTGCACCACATCTGCAGTACCATTATAATTCCTCGATTCCCCATTGATAACAAGCGCTTCACGTCGCATAAGGTTGAATAGGAAAGAAATAAAGGCATAAGCCTCAAAGAAATCAAATCGCACGATGAGGAATCAAGAAGGGAAGTGCTCCTAACAGCCTTGTAGCCTCTCGAAGATAACAACGTCTCCGTAACGATCCACGAGACTCTACTAGACTTGCTCATGACTTGTGAGACCTAAGTGAACCTAGTACTCTGATACTATGTTGTCACGAACTAAAATCCACTAAAGATCATGATGGCGCCTAACATCGCTGTCAGGCAAGCCAACAATAAATGATTATCTTAATTACTTATATTAGTATTTGAAATCATAATTTTCTTTAACTACATAGTACAAAACGGGATTTACAAAGTGAATGAAAATATTTGTCGCAACTACATTAATGAATAACCCATAAGCACCCCAAAAACCCGGTGTCACAAGTACATGAGCATCAACGAGGAAGTAAAATAAAATACAGCATCTATCCGGAATACAAATTAGACAGGAAAAATATAAATAACTCTGAAGGAGACTCTATTGGCTGCGGATCGTAACATGAAATGCAGCTCACAGTAAGTCCCGGCATCATCCGCGCCTCCGCGCCCAAAGGACCACCAGACATAAATGTACCTGCACAAAAAATGTACAGCAACTGTAGTATGAGTAGGTAAATCAACGTGTACCTAGTAAGCATCTAGCCTAACGCCGAGGAGTAGTAACGAGGGGTCGACATCGACACTTACTAGTGGTCCAATAATATCAAGTACAGTAAAGAGGTAAACAAATATGAGACAGAGTAATAAACGAAATAAACAAGTATAATACGTGGTACAATTCTCCTCTTTAAAATAAACTCAAGCTCTCAATTAGCAATATATATATATATACATATATATATATATATATATATAATGGACCTCACCAAATAGGTTGTTATAATCCAAATCAGGAAAAAACTCACAGGTACACTGGCTTATTGCCACATATTACGCACGATTCCATGAGGATATTTTATAGGAATGTCGAGGCGTACGGCCCAATCCCATCATAATTTGTGCACTGCCGAGGGTCAAACGACACGAATCATAGATGCATCTATTAAACTGCCGAGGTGAACGGACCGCTCCCATGAGAGTGTGGTACATAAATTCTGCCGAGGCGAACGGCCAGATCCCATTATATAAGAAGATTTAATAGGTCCTTGACCCCCACTCATGAATAAACGTGTGAGTTATAATTTTTAAGGAAAATCGTTCGATGAAAACGCATAGCGCGTGAGAAATCCGTAAGAGGAACACCATTATTCCGTGGAAAATCATCAAACTCGTGAAATCCCTACAATAGCAAGTCTATCACTCTACGCATGTCTAGTCTCAAGCCGTAATGCGAAATAAAAGAACCAAACGAGCAAAGAATAATCCTTATAGTGCTAGCATAACATGGTGTGAACTTAAGTCTACCCGGACATAACATGAATCTAACTACGTACGAACTCTCGTCACCTCCTGCGTACGTAACCGCCGCAACAAGTTACACATATTAAAAATATCACCTAGGGGTAGTTTCCCCCTCACAAAGTTAGACAGGAGACTTACCTCGTCTCAAAGCTTACTTTCCGGTCCACAATTGTGCTTTAAACCCTCAATTCAGTGCCAAACGACTCGAAACTAGTCAATTTTTATATAAAATAGTCAATACATGTTCAAAAGTTCATATCCCAACTAATAAAGTGATTACCCAACCCCAATTATAGAATTCCTAAAATTTACTTCCGAGCCCACATGTCCGGATTCCGAAAATTTTCGAAGAAAGTCGTTAGCCATAACCTTATGAACTCAAATATATGATTTTTATCTAATTCCATAATTATTTTCGTGGTTTAATCCCATTTTTATCAAAACCCTAGGTTTTACATATAAACCCTTGATTTCACTAATTTTTACATGTTAATCTACCCATAATCTATGTATTTAACTCATATTGTGTAGAAATTACTTACCTCAAAGTGATAGGTGAAAACCCTTTTCCAAGAGCTCCAAAAATTGCCCAAGAGATGAAAGAAAAGGAGCTAAATGGTCTAAGTCCCGCATTTAATAAGGATGTGCACAGGTCGCAGATGTCGCATTTGCGACACCTGGTTCGCAAATGCGAACCTGGGCTCCCACTGCCAAGGTCACAAATGCAACCAAAGAGTCGCAAATGCGAAATTGTCAAGGTCGCAAATGCGACTGAAATCACGCAAATGCGAGCTATGCCCAGATCAGGCTTCTTCGCAATTGCGAAGTCTTTCTCGCAAATGCGAACAAATTCTCACATTTGCGATACCTGCAACACCAGCTAGGAAACACCAGAAAACTGAAACTTTCTCAACCTTCGAAACATGTCCGAAATTGACCCGAGAACATCCACACAAGTCTTAAAACATCATACGAACTCGCTCGCGTGATCGAAGCACCGAAATAACATCAAAACCCACGTCGCCAAAACGCATGGATTAACTCATGAACTCAAAAACTTCTAAAAATACTTCCACGTGTCCGATTCCTATCAAATCAACTCGGAATGACGCCAAATTTTGCGTGCAAGTCTTAAATTACATTACGGACCTACTCCAACTTCCGGAACTGAAATTCGAATCCGATATCAAAAAGTGTACCCTCGGTCAAACTTTCCAAAAACTTCAAATTTTCAACTTTGGCCAAATGACCCCAAAACGACCTACGGACGTCCAAATCCACTTCCGAACGCGCTTCTAAGTCCAGAATCATCATACGGGGCTATTCCCAGGCTCGAAATCCCAAACGGACGTCTATAATGTAAAAATCTACTTCGACCCAAACTTATGAAATTCACCCAAAATGCCAACTTTCACTATTAGGCGCCAAAACACTCCCGGATCATCCAAAACCCGGCCCGGACATACGCCCAAGTCAAAGATCATCATACGTATCTGTTGGAACCTTCAAATCCCGATTCCGAGGTCGTTTACTCAAAAATCAAACCTTGGTCAACTCTTTCAACTTAAAGCTTCCAAAATGAGAATTTCCTTCTAAATCAACTCCGAACTTCCCGAAATTAAAATTCGACCACCCGTACAAGTCATAATACCTAAAGTGAAGCTACTCAAGGCCTCAAACCGTTGAACGACGCGCTAGGACTCAAAACGACCGGTCGAGTCGTTACACTTTAACCTTTTAAATCTATAAAACAACAGCTAAACCTATGAACTAAAGACATATATGTCACTTGAGATGAAAACAAAACTCCTAGTTCCTGAGAATGAATTATTTCAGCCAACTGAAAATGCTAATTTTAAAAAAGTACTCAGCGTCCTCTGCAATATTGCAATTTCTACAAATTATTTTTAGGCATCTTGTTTCAATGGTTAGGTGTCCCTGTTGTTCACTTAAAGACGAATGTTTGAATCTCTTGTTGCATTGGTTCTTTAAGTTTTGTGCCATTTCTTCGCTACTATTTAAAAACAAAAGAAGTTGACGAGTATTGAACCTTTTAACCTTTTAAAACTATAAAACAACAACTAAACCAATGAACTAAAGATAGATATGTCACTTGAGATGAAAACAAAACTCCTAGTTCCTGAGAAATGAATTATTTCATCCAACACAAAATGCTAATTTTAAAAAAAGTACTTAGCTTCCTCTGCAATATTGCAATATCTACAAATTATGTTTAGGCATCTTGGTTCAATGGTTAGGTGTCTCTATTGTTCACTCGTCTTGTGCGTTCGAATCTCATGCTTCATTGGTTTTTTAAGTTTTGTGCCATTTTTTTGAAGAAGGGGTCGCCAGTGACGATATCCGAATCTGAATCTTATAGTAATAGCAGCAGCCATGGCGGGCGAAACAAGATATAGAGCGTCACATAGTCAACGACCCCTCCAGCTTTTGCTAATTAGAACTCCAGCAATCATAAGTGGTTCTTGCGCTTCTATCGTTTCTTTCTGGAGTTATACCTTTAAAGGCTCTGAATTCCAGCACCAAGTATTGGGATTTCACATGTAGGGGAGTTTTTGAATTCTACTATAGTATATTGGAGTTTCACTTGTAAGGATTTAGAAATCCAGCACCGGTTGCTGGAGTGTGTTAGAGGTATTTTTTTTCCATAACTATTTCCGTACAAAAAATGTGGCTAATGTTTAATAGCAGGTGTTAAAAATGGTTATTTACCATTTTTTGTCTAAAACAAGACTACGCTACTGGCCCTTCTTTCTCAACCATGGCATCTCCACTCACAATGAAAATTTTACCCTAAAAACAAAAGCAAATGCAGTTTGACTAAAGTCCTGACATGACTACGTTGCAATGCATATTATCTATCAACGATCTATACTTTCTGCAAAAAAACTTTGCCTTTACATAACAAAGGCTTCTATCAAAAAGAAAATAGATAGTAGATTCAACATAGATTCATCTAAACAAGCTCGAAGTTCAAGCATTTAACAATTCAGCATAAAGCATTCAAACATAAGCAGTTAAACCTCTTGGATTATATCTTTGGAAATGTAGAAGGCTAGTGAAGTCGAGTAGCTACACCCAACTTAAGTAGTTTCCACCAAATGCCTAGACATCTAGTTTACCATCTTTGATGCTGATAGCCTACAGAAAGGGGGACTTTTTACAATGGAAGTCACAATATCCCGCTAATTGATCCACTAGACTACTGTGGTTTAACATCTTATAGATGACATACAAAGGCTGAAAGTAACACTTGTAGATAGTATCTATGATGTCGAAAAGACTAAAATCTCTGCTCCGTCATCACTGTAGGTTGAGCTTCAGAAAGCCTTCTTCCAAAATAAGGACCTCTTCTGATAGCTTCCTCCAGCTGCAGAAAGATCACAGCATTATATTACAAATGTAAGAAAGCACAGTCAACAGGACGTGAAAAGGAAATGAAAATGAAGAATCCTTGATCAAACCAAGACTTACGTCACTGGGCTCTCAGTCCTCGGTCATATTAAAAGACATTTACTTGGCTAAAAGATCGTGTTTAATGAAGATTTAACATGATCTTCTGTAAATCATATCACATTCCTCTCATTCTCCATTTGCTTTTCCCAGAAAAAACAATTTTCTCTTGCAGTGTAACACTCCGTAAATTCGGATTAGGTGTGGATGTTTTAAATGAACATTGATGTTACATTTAGACATGTGAAGTCCTATCGGATGAGAATGGATGAAAATAATTGTTTTGGAATCAAGATGGAAAGTGAGGTGCATAAGATTTCGATAAAATCGACTAAGTTTATAGAAGGTCTATTTTCCATCCCGATTTCGTGAAAATCTGTTAGGAATTTGAGAAAACTTAAAGTAGTATAGTTGTAGTCCTTTGAAATATATTTCCAATGATATATTGTGGAGTCCGAACGGATCTCTGTGCAAAAAGTCATGTGTATTTACTGGACAATGCGCAGTCTGCGTGCTGAGCTGCGCGCCCAACTGTCCAGCGGGCAGCGCACTTGTGGAAGTACCACTTGCTGCGCGTTCAGGTGCGCGGTTGGGCCGGTCAGCTACGTGGAAGCGCACCCGGAAAGTCGTTTTAAAAGCCTTACCTCATTCCCTACTCCCCAAACGGTTCTATACAGTATTCCAGTATCATATAACTCGGTATGATTCAGTATTTCACGTATTGCAATATGATTCTCAGTTCCTGATTTCAAATTCCTGAATGTTGAACACCTGTATTTGGGCCCGAGGCCGTAGTTTATGCTCTATGCATCTTTGGGCCTGAGGCCGCAGTTATATATACGTATACTTGGGCCCGAGGCCGTAGCATGTGTACATACATATTGGGCCTGAGGCCACAATTTATTTATTCAGATAAACAGGTGGTTCATCATTTAGAAGAGGGAGTTTTCATATCTTTACTTCCTTGTTCAGTTCAGTTTCAGTTTCTGCATTTACAGTTCTTTCTTTCAGTTGCTTTACATACCAGTGCAATTCAAATGTACTGACGTCCCTTCCGCCCGAAACCTGCATCTCGTGATGCACGTAACAATTATAGTTGACGATTCAAAACGCTAGGATTCTCGTACCAGCCATTTTGGTGAGCCTCAGTTCTTTCGAGGCATTATTACGATCTTTCAGTATTTGCAGACAGACAGTGTTTTCAGTACTTCATTAGAAGCTTCATAAACTAGAATAACAGTTAGACAGAGTCAAAGGCTTTTCATGTTAAGTAATGTTGGCTATAAACATGTTTCAGACTTATATTAGTGCTTTCGCAATTAGATTTATATCATTCAGACTTTCAGTATATCAGGCATCAGCATGTCTTAGTTTATCTTCCGCATTCAGTATGTTATGTTATCACATGTTGATTCAGCCAGCCAGTTGGTTCGCTCGGTCGCATGTAGTTAGGCACCAGATATCGTGTTACGTCCAGCGTGACATGCAGATACCTTTGTGGTTTGTTTTAAGGAGCTGCCTACAACCATATTATTTGACTTGATGTTACTTTACTAGAATACTAGTCCATTCCACTAGACCACTACCGTCCATTTCAGAAAGGAATTTAGTCCAACCTTCTTTTATTCCTACAAATAGGGTGGGGAGAAAGATGAGGGATGCATGCACTTTGCATTCAGTTTCACCTAGGCTAGTCCTAGGTTGCCAAAGAGCTAGTCTCATTCTTAAGTTTTCCATGCAGTACTTACACAAAGAAAAGCAAAATGCAAAAATAGATTGGACATCTGACATGTTTGTCTATATCTATAGAACATAGGCATAAATAGGACTAGTAAATACAGGGGTGAAAATAAGGACAAATCAGAGTTCTATAACAGGGAACTCCGTGATAGAGGACCAATTCGATCTCTGCAAACCATAACCAAATCCGTATAAATTTGGACACAAGGATATAAATCAGGAAAGACACACCTTTGTAGCTACACCAGACAGTGCATTGTCAGCGATCAGCTTACTAGATGAGGTGAAAGCCTTGTAGAGTGACTGGCAACATTTGTGTCTAGCTTCCATACCTGAAATTTAACCAACTTACTGAATCTTTCAACAAGAACATGTACTATGCGAAGTAGTTAAGAGTTATAAAATAGTATATAAAGATTTAAACAAGGATGCATACAACATCAATTAAGACCTAAATGAGGATGATCTTTCAATCTCATCTGACAAAATTCCTACTCAGCCAGGTGATTTAAAAAATCAATTGTTGACAATGCCACTTCTCTAGCAGGGGATGAAGAGATAAAAAAAAATTGAGAAGATAAAAGTTAATACACTAACTTGCAGTTATATGGGCCAGCATAATGTTGAATGAGAAACACAGTAGCACAAAAGTCAGCTAGGTGAAGACACGGCCAATAAGAGATAATGCCGAAAAAAGTGTCATCAAATGACCGCATTTGGATACGCAAATAGCAGATATTTGTACTGTTTGCGTACTATTAAAGCAAATTGGATATTAACACACATACCTATCTTGTCTGTCTCTGTAAAAGTGTCAGTTGCTATATTTATTATTTCTTGTCTGGAGGCAACCTCCATCAGGCACCAAGGCCGCATCACCAACGCAGTTATCACTCTATAGCCCTGTAAAATATAAGAAGAGACTGACTTTTTCTAGCTGTGTGAGGCTAAAGAAAGGAATAAAAAAATTCAGGTTATGAAACCAAAGTTGATTAACTCCTATGGTGTATATTTAAACCTGCCTTAGAAGACCCAACCTTCATTTCTTTCCTTCTTTTCTATGTTTAGGTGTGTGTGTGTGTGTGGGGGTGGGGGGGGGGGGTATCG